ATACGAAGAGTATATCTTAAAATTTAAAAGAAGTTATTAGAAATTACGGGTGTGCATTATACGCCGGGGCGCGTTATGCGCCAGAATATACGGTAAGCACATTATTTGCAACTATTTGGTTTGCTTTTATAAGAGCTAGTTAATATCATTGAAAGGAAACAATTTATAGAAGCTAAATGATAAACTAGTATATATTTTATTGCTTACCTGATTGAATATCATTATGCAAACTAAGTTTAGCAAAGCAGCTGTTGTGGATGTTATGATGCTAGCAAAAGTGGATATTGTTTTATCTTTGCTGAGAAGAAGGGCAGCATTTACAGATATCCGGTATAAAATGACACCAACTACTGCAGCTACAGCAACTGTCACCTTAAAAATGATACAACTTTAAAACATTACATGCTCCTTTATACTTAACCAACTGAGCATTTGAGACGTTTATTTTTCCTAATCACTTTTTATATATTGCAAAAACAGTTTAGTTTCCTCTTTGTTATTCAGTGAGAAAATTGTTGTTTATGGAGAAGAAATTTCTAAATAAATTTGTTCAAATATGAATTGCTCAGTCAGTCAAAGAAAAGAAAAACTAAGCAAATTTCAAGTTAATCAAACTATATCTTAATCAGAGCCACAAGGTCAGAACTAGCACGTTATAAGTAACGGAACTTCTCTTGTTACTACTTTCTTTTTGTGGTTTGAAGTGCTATGTCCTATTTTTGGATAAAAAGTAGCGTAGCGAGGCGGAAAAAAAAATCTAGTCTAAAGGGATTCCCGGGAACTACTTTTAACGTACGTTTAAGAAACAAGGTTAGGATGGAATCAATTTTTAGAAGCTGATTGGTGCAAATCTTGTGAGACCGTCAGCAGGAACAATGAGAATATGTCTCAGTGGCTAAACATTTTAGATTTTATATGACTATTATGAATTATAACTAACTTATCAATATTACTCATAACATATCCATAGCATCAAATTCAAGTGTACATTTGTGATCAAAATTAGTAGAATACATGCTTGTTATTTTATCAAAGAGGATCATATTTTCCTATGTGTAACTTTAAACACTTAAGAACTTTAAACACTTAAAAAAGTATCAAATATCTGATAATGTTCAAGCGATTCTTGAATAAGTATTCATTCTAAAAAAATCATAAAAAGTTGAAGGTTGATAGAAAAAATTTGTGAAAAAAAATGAGTCATTATTCTTCGCTAATTTTTTAAAATCTTTTCTATCAAACTATTTTGAATAGGCAAGTAAATCAAATTCTGCATCCTCTACCAAAATTTGTCTCCTAAAAGTAATTACCACATTAAAAAAATAGTTACAGTTGCAGTAAACTACATTAGTAATTAAGTAGTTGCAGTTAACTGCAAGAGATAAGCGCACTTTTTCAGACAACTGGATATAACAAATAAAGTGCTATTAATCAGGGATGTGATTGACAAAAACACAAAAAAGAGGAAGTTTGTGTATGCGTAACTATAGTATGTATTGTATTACTGTAGCATTAAACATGCAAAAGAAAAAATGATATGAATTCAATAGCCAATCTGATAATGATTACATTATTATCTATTCAAATAAATATAAATAAATGGTAATTATGTTCTTAAATAAAATCTTGATTAAAATAATTTTTTTTTAATAATTTAGATAACTTTGAGTAATTATGCATAAGCAGGATTTTATGTATCACATCATTTTAAAAAACATTTCTTTATTGGTTAAAGGACCTTTATGGACTTTCTCATCAGTTCTTTGTTTTTTCGATGGTCTTTTATTAACATGACTGATCTGTAGACTGCGTTTTGCAGACTTTTGATCATCAGTGTTGATAGGACAAGAAAGTTCATTTCTCACACAATTTTTAGAGGCCTTAGATTA